ACTAGCCCCTCCAGATGTGAAAAAACAAACTTGACAAAATACATAAGAAAATTATTATCAGGCATTGGACAAGAGATAGTGTAAGCCTGATCCATAAGAAAAGGGCAATACATGAAGTCATCTCCACATTTACCCCATTATTACCTGAGGACAACTTCTCAACCAGAGAACAAAGAACCTAGACTAAAGTTGAGGCAGCAGAGACATGTTCAACTGCAGCCAAAGGGAATGGAATCTGCAGAGCAGGTGCCAGAGAGGAGGAAGCAAGGCAGGCAGATGGATTGGGAGAAGAGACTCCAGATATCTATATAGGATGGTTCTGCAAATCCTTGGCTGAGGGACAAGGTGAACTGTGAAGACAGAGACTACTTAAGGCTTAACACAGAGCTGCTTCAATTGAGTTAAGATGAGAATAGATAACAGAGGCTGAGTAATGCTAAGGGTCATTTATTTTGTTTCTCCCATAAAAATCATTATTTTTTTTTAAGTGTCAATTTTTTTATTTATATATGACAGCGGAATGCATAGTAATTCTTATTATATAGAGAGAGCACAATTTTTCATCTCTGGTTGTATATAAAGTATATTCACACCAATTTGTGTCTTTAAAAAAAATCACTATTTTTATACATATATTACACTTATTTGTGTGTGCCCATCATACTTTGAGGGAGATATTTTCTCTGAGAATTTATTACCATCTATTTATATGCCAAAACAATAACTAAAATACTATCAAATTTTTCTGACTATATAAATTGTAAAGGAAAAAATAAAAAGTAAAATTTTTTTTCTGAATATTCCTTTCTTAATATCTTTTTTAAAAACTGAGACACTGTTCACTTAGTAGCTGCTCAGAAGCTCTTAAATTACAAGCCATTTTAAAACCAGTATAATTTTTCATAAAATTAGGGCAAATGGATGAGTTACTTGAAAATTAATGGATATATTTCTAATCAGGAAAATGTTAGGGAATATTATAAGAAAAATTCAGTGTTCCCTGTTTTTCTAATTTAAAATATCTTTTAAATTATCACATTAAGATACTGTGTTTAAGTTCAGCTATTATAATAAAGAGCTATATGTCTAGCAACAATTCTAAGAAAAACTATCATTTTTATTCTACCAATTAGATCTTGAACAAAAACTGATCCTCTAATTCAAAAAATGTAATAGTTTAGTGTACTACTTATTCTTATCAAGCCCATAGTAAACATTCATTTTCTTTAAAGTTAGAACTCTCAGAAACTGTACAGGTCCCAACATTCCTTCATGATAAAAGAAAAAACATCAACAAACTAAGAAAGAACTAACTCCCTTAACCTGATCTATAAAAAACTCACAGCTAATATCATACTTCGTAAGAAACAGACTGAAAGCTTTCTCCTAAAGATCAGGAACAAGACAAGAATGTTCAGTCTCTCCATTTCTATTCAACAATGAACTTGAGGTTCTAGCCAGGGCAACTGGGCAAGACATGAAGATCAGAGGGAAAAATGTAAAAATTATCTCTGTGGATACATCCCTAAATCCCTAAAGATCAGACGGAAAAATGTAAAAACTATCTCTGTGGACACATCCCTAAATATAAAAAAATCCTAAAGAATAAACACCAAAACCAATCAACCAACCAACAAAACTAACAAGTAAAAATAATCTCAAAAGCTACTTGAGGTAATAAATGTGTTCAGCAAGATTACAGGTCTCAAGATAAAATATACAAAGCAACTGTAAGCCAGGCGCAGTGGCACATACCTGAGAACCCAGAAGCTCAGGAGGCTGAGGCAGGAGGATCAGAAGTTCAAAGACATCCTCAGCAACTTAGGCCCTAAGCAACTCAGCAAGATCTTATCTCTAAATAAAATACAAAAAAAGGGCTTGGGATATGGCTCAGCAGTCAAGTGCCACTGAGTTTCAATCCCCAGAACCAAAAAAAAAAAAAAAAAAGGAATTTTATTTCTACATGTTTATAATGAGTAACCTGAAAATAAAATTTAAAAAACAATTCCATTTGCTATAAATCAAAAATAATAAAATACTTAGGAATAAATTTAACAAAAAAGTGTATGAATTTAACATTGAAAACATTAAGATCAGGCCGGAGCTGTAGCTCAGTGGTAGAGCACATGTCTAGAATGTATGAAACACCTGGTTTGACTCTCAGCACCACATATAAATAAATAAAATAAAGGTCCATTGACAACTAAAAAAAAAAAAAAAAAATATATATATATATATATATATATATATATATATATGAAAAAAATAAAACATTTAGTGTTTTCAGTCCTTGAAAAAACTTAAAAATGACCTAAATAAGTGGAAATAAATCTTGTGTTGATGGATTGGAAGACTTAACATTGATTTAAAGCAATGTTTCTTTTACAGATTTAAAGCAATCCCTATCAAAATATGAAATGGTTTCTTTGCAGAAACTGTCAAGTTTATACCAAAACTCATATGGAAATTCAAATGACCCAGAATAGTCAAAAACAATCCCAAAAAAGAAGAAAAAACTCAGAGAACTTACTCTTCTTGATTTCAAAACTAACTACAAAGCTACAATATAAGGTATTAGGAAAACAGAATAAGACTAGGCATACATATGAATGGAATAAAAGTGAAAAGTCTGGAAATAAACTCTCAAATTCACCGTCAGCTGATTTTTACAAGGTTGCAAAGATAATTTAATGAGAGAAAATATTGTCTTTTCAATAAAAAGCACTGGGATAAGTAGATATCTAAATGTGAAAGAATAAAGTTGGACTCATCCTCATACCATATACAAAACTCACTCTAGAAGGATCATAGACCTAAAGATAAAGCAAAAATGATAATACTCTGAGGAAAAAAAACAAAAGATAAATCTTCATGACCTTGGATTTCACAATGGTTTCTTAGATACAACATGAGAAGCACACAAAACAAAGGAATAGCTAAACTGGACTTAATCAAAATTTTTAAAACTTGTGCTTCCAAAGACACTATCAAGTGAAAAGAAAGCTCAGAATGAGGAAAAAAAAATCTAGAAATCATAATTCTCAAAAGGGTTTATGACTAAGTCAATTCTCAGTTGCTGTGACAAAAATGAGGATATAAACTACTCATAAGGAGGAAAACTTAGTTTGGCTCAGTTGCAAATGTTTCCTTCCATATCACTCGGCCCTGTTGCCTTTGGGCTTATGAACAGGCAGAACATCCTGGCAGATAGCAGGTGGCAGAAGAGGTCTGTTCACCCCATGGCAATCAGGAAGCAACAAGAGAGAGTAAGGGCTGGAGTCCAAATATCTCCCCCTTAAAGGACTTCTACAAGGCTCTGCTTCCTAAAGGTCCCACTTTCTCCCAATACAATCAGAAGCTGGTGAACAAGCCTTCAACACAAGGCCAAATTCCCAAAGGTCCCTAAGTCCCAAAAGTCCCAAAGGGGACATTTGAGATCTACACCAAATAGTTTAATATCCACAGTACATAAAGGATTCTTACAACTCAACATTAAAAAGACAAATAACACAATTAAAAGTGGGAAAATGATCTGAACAGACATTTTACCAAAGAAGATATAAAAACTGCCAACCAGCACAAGAAAAAAATGCTCAGCATCATTAGTTAACAGGGAAATGTAAATCAAAAGCACAATGAGATACCACTTCCACCCTGTAGGATGGCTGGAATAAAAGAAACAGATAATAACACATGCTGGTGGGATATGTAAAATTGGAGCTCATCTATTACTGGTGAGAATGCAAAATGATGGCCATGCTTTGGAAAAACACCCTGTAAGTTCCTCAAGAAGTTAAACACAGAATTACTATATGATCTAACAATATATTCCTAGATGATATACCCACAAGAAATAAACCACATGTCTTTCCAAAAACTTTTACTTGCATGTTCATAACTCATTATATGTACTCTAAGAGTCACAACCAAAATGTCTATCAATAAATGAGTGGATAAATAAAATGACCTACGGTTACAAGTGTTGGGGAAAATGTGAAGCAACTGCCAATGAGCACAAGGTTTCTTGTGGGGGTAACAAAAATATTCTAATAATGACAATGATGATAACTGCACAAATCTGCCAACATACTAAAACCCATTCAACTTATACTTTAAATATTTGAATTGTAAGGTATGTAAAATATATTTCAATAAAGCTGTTTAAAAAATACATGTGGCTCAAAATTTGAGGACTGGAAGAGGAGAGCACAAGTGAAGGGATATTCGGATATTTGGAGACCCTAAATTAAGCCACAGACAACTCCCACTGAAGACACCACAAAATAAAAATAAATGACCTCTATGGTGACTTATCTAAGACATAAATTTATATGATTCTGCTTTCCTTTTGAGAATCATGTAGTGAGTTCTTAATAAAAAATATCTGATCTTAAATAGAGCTAGTCATAAAATTTATCTAGGCTTAAATAATAATATTCTAAAATTATCTATTTGTGAATAGGAAACAATACCAAATAATGATAAGAACAATCAGAATTAGCCTTATGATACAGCTGTAAAAGAAACTCAAAACATGTCAGACACAGTGACAGAATGACGTGAATTATCTCCAATTCTCAAAATAACAACAGAAGTGAGTGACCATAAATATGTCCTAATGTAAAATCTTGACATTTTAGAGCTTAAAGAAATTCTAACATCTACCGTGCACCTCACTTGAAAAAAATGAGGCAGCACTACCTTTGCAGTCTCTGATCAGCCTTGGCTATTTCCATTACTCACTGGCTTTTAATATATCATACCAGATTGTCTGCTCATGTTTCCAGACATCCTTGGCAAAAAGCAAATGAGGAATCACAGACAAGCTGTTTTGGAAACTCATGGATGTGCTGAATAAAATATCTCAAATTCACCTTTTCATATTTTAATACAATAAAATAGAAATATTCTTGTTACTGGGTCAGTATGTAGAATTCTATCACAGGGGAAAGGTTAGATGGGATTTGTAATACTAATTTACAGATACCTAGAACTCTTACCTTTGTGGTCACAAGAAAGATGGTATAAAGGAACATAAGATTATGCTTTGATATGGTCAGATGCTTGGTGTGCTGAAATGTGAAGATAAGGGACCCCAGCAGGGTTACCTTGGAAGGGCTGAAAATAAAACATATTTTAAGACAGTAGTTAATAAAAATGTAATCATAGATAATTAATAAACTATATCTTTCTCAAAGAGTACACTGTACAACATTTCTTTTTAAATATTTATTTTTTAGTTTTCGGCGGACACAACATCTTTGTTTGTATGTGGTGCTGAGGATCAAACCCAGGCCGCACGCATGCCAGGCGAGCACACTACCACTTGAGCCACATCCCCAGCCCCTGTACAACATTTTTTAATGAGCTACTAACAGATATTAACACAAAATGAGATTTGTGAATTTACTTAAGAGTTCTGGAAATGCTAAGTCATACAAAATTAAATACCTTTCTTCACAGTATAAAGTATCAAAGATTTCAGAAATGTCTATGTACGTCATGGCTTTCTAAAAGGTGAGTATATTTCCATAATGCAACATTTCTAAAACATACTTTGAACATATAACATTGTTCCAAAAAGGAGCTGAAAGTCTCATGTTTCATAGCATGATTTGGAATTAGTATTGAAAAACCTTCAGTGCTAAACAAGCTGAGGGATGTGGCAGTAGGAGAGGAGACGGTGAGAGGAGGGAAATTCACCCCCAATTTGTAGTGTTTGCCTATTTCCATGATGTACATACTCCCACATAGCTAATTTCAGGCTGCTGCATGCAATGAAAAAGAGATATACACAACTGGCTCCATAAAACAATATGAGCCAACTCCAACACATCATATTAGCTTTTGCTAATATCTTAATGCTGAAACTGTAAGTCTACAATGAGTTACTAATGGATCAAATAAGCAACATTACTTTGATATTATATACCCGCCACATTATTTAAAGTATACCTCAGTAATAGATCATTATCTAGCTTCTCTATGCTTACCATAAAGATAAATGATACGCTCTCAGAATGCCATATTGCAACATGACAAATTTAAAGATCCCTATAAGTCACTTTATTTTTTTAAATAGGTTATTTAATTATTATACACTAAAGATTAAGTTCAAAATAGGAGTAAGTTTAGGCAACAGGATTTGGAATTCACTTACCAATATACTGAGTAACATATTTTAAAACAGTGATCTCTAAGTTTTTATTTTATATCCCTATAGGTCTTTATGTTTTAGATGTTCCCTAATATGTTTCTTAATTTATAAAAGTATGCATACATACATAATTTTATTATAAACTGTACATAAAACTGAAATTCTAAAAGGATAAGATAAAAACAAATGAAATGAGATTTGTCTTCAAGTTATTTTTCAACTATTCATTTCTACTAATTTGGTTTCTGTACCAAAGTGGGTCATTACAGGTATGGCCTTGGCATACACATCTTCCATTTTGGATTACATTCTCTTGAAGGTTGAATTTGAAGAATAATGATTTTATAGATACTAAACTGGAGCAGGACACTGGAGAAGGGTTAGAATTAGGGGAAATTCCATTTTAAATCAAAGTATGAGATTTGTCAGGAAACTCAGGATGTATTAGAAAATTGTAATATATATATTAATTTCCTGTAAAACTAAAAACAAGTTTTCTAGTTCCACAATGGTGGAACAGGTACTGGGTAATAGTTACAGACATTCTCATTCCAAAAGGAAGAGAATAAAATAAATATATCATTGGTACCAAGCAATTTCAAAATTCAGCAGGGCAATTCCATTAGGTTTCAAGGCTTGGGGATAATCCTCTATGGCTGGATACACTGTCCTGAATCTGCAGCTCTAATCTCTACACTCATGTCTTTGGTTTCTGCACCTCTGACTCCAGACTGTAGGGCTAGACTCAGGCCTCTGGGGCACAGTCCCCACCATGAAGTCATTATTCCTTTTCCTTTAGAGGGCAGCACACTTCTGTAGCTGCGCAGTTTTATCAGCCTATTTTTCACCTAAGGAATTCCATGAGTTTGATAATCTTCTTTCATTTCATCCTGTCTCTGTTCTTGCAGTCCAAGCTGGCAGTATATCTGCTAATTTAACATTTCTAACACTCTCTGGGTTTCCTGGGATCCATGCCATTAGTCAAGCGAATCCTTCCTCCACAAATCTTTCTTGAATAATCTCCTCTCTATTCCTGGGCTTCGGCTATGATGGCTGAAATTTACCCATGAATCACATGCCTAATCCCTTCAACACTAGTAAAAGACTGTCCAATTAAACCCTTGACCAGAGAAAAAATTTTTTCTTACTAGAGAAAATCTTCCTAAGCATGAATCTAAGTTTTTAAATATTTTATTTGTTCTTTTTAGATATACACAATAGTGGACTGTATTTTGACATATTATAGACACATGGAGTATATTTCCCATTCCTGTGGTTGTGGAGTTACAGTGATCATGTATTCACATATGAAGTTAGGAAAGTTATGTCTGATATATCCTACTGTCCTTCCTATTCCTTCGTGTTAGCATGTGCATATCAAAGAGAACATTCAGCCTTTGGTTTTTAGGGACTGGCTTATGTTGCTTGCATGATAGATTTCAGTTCCATCTCTTATGGAAAAATGCCATAATTTCATTCTTCTTTATAGCTGAGTAATATTCCATTTATTCCATTGTGTATATATACCACATTCTTTATCCATTCATTTGTTGAAGGGCACCTAGGTTGGTTCCATAGCTTAGCTATTGTGAACTGAGCTGCTATAAACATTCATATATATATATATATATATATATATATATATATATATATATATATATATATATATTATGCTGATTGTAAGTCCTTTGGGTATATGCCAAGGAGTGGGATAACTGGGTCAAATGGTAGTTCCATTCCAAGCTTTCTGAAGTATCTCCATACTGCTTTCCAGAGTGGTTGTACCAATCTGCAGTTCCACCAGCAATGTATGAGTGTACATTTTTCCCCACTTCCTCCCCAATATTTATTGTTACTTGTACTCTTGATAAATGCCATTCTGACTGAAGTGAGATGAAATCTCAGTGTAGTTTTAATTTGCATTTCTCTAATTGCTAGAAAAGCTGAACATTTTTCCATATATTTGTTGGCTTGATCATATTTCTTCTGTGAAGTACCTGTTCAGTTCCTTTGTCCATTTATTGACTGGGTTATTTCTTTTTACAATGTTAAGTTTTTTGTTTTGGGGGGTTTTTGTTTTGTTTTGTTTTTTGTTTTTTGTATATCCTAGAGATTAATGTTCTATTTAGGTGAAGGTGGCAAAGACTTACCCCCATTCCTTAGGCTCTCTCTTCACATTCTTGATTGTTTCCTTGCTGTGAAGAAGCTTTTTAGTTTGATACCAACCCATTTATTGATTCTTGATTTTACTTTTTACTCTTTAAAAGTTTTGTTGAGGAATTCAGTTCTGAGGCCAACATGGTAGACATCTGGACCTACTTTATCTTCTTCTAGTAGCTGCAGGGTCTCTGATCTAATGCATAAGTCCTTGATACACTCTGAGTTGAGTTTTGTGCAGGGTCAGAGAAAGGGGTTTAGTTTCATTTTGATACACACAGATATCCAGTTTTCCCAGCACCATTTGTTGAAGAGGCTATCTTTTCTCCAAAGCATGTTTATGGAGCCTTTGTCCAGTATAAAATAACTGTATTTACATGGGTTTCTCTTTGTCTTCTATTCTGTACCATTGGTTTTGGTGCCAATACCATGCCAGTTTTATTACTATCACTCTGAGTTATAATTTAAGGTCCGGTACTGTGATGCCTCCTGCTCACTTTTCTAAGAATTACTTTGGTAACATGAATCTAATTTTGTCATGCAACCTGTATAGGCTGAGAGTATGCCACTGCCTTGGAATGACTTTTTGAATACCATATCAAAATCTCAAGCTACAAAAGCAAAAACAAATAAATAAACAGGACTCTATCAAGTTAAAAAGCTTCTGTGCAACAAAGGAAACAACCAATAAAGTGAAAGGGCAGGGCTAGGGATGTGGCTCAAGCGGTAGCGTACTCGCCTGGCATGCGTGTGGCCCGGGTTCGATCCTCAACACCACATACAAACAAAGATGTTGTGCCCACCGAAAACTAAAAAAATATAAATATTAAAAAAAAATTCTCTCTCTCTCTCTCTCTCTCTCACTCTCTCTCTTTAAAATAAATAAATAAATAAACAAATAAATAATAAAGTGAAAGGGCAAACCACAGACTAGGAGAATATTTAAACCTAGTATATGATACATGGTTAATATCCAGAATTTATTAAGAAACCATACAATCTAACAGCAAGAAAATATATAACCAGGTTTAAAAAGGAAGCAAAGGAACTTAATATTTCTCCAAAGGACATAAAAATAGCCAACATTACTAATCATCAATGAAATGCAAATTAAACTACTGTGAGATACCAACTCACACCCATGAGGGTAGCTATTATCAAAAAGACAAAAGACAAGAAATGCTGATAAAGGTATGAAGAAAATGGAACCTTTCACACTATAGTAGGAATTAAAACTAGTATAACAAAGTATGGAAAACAGCATATAGGTTCCAAAAGATATTAAAACTGAAAACTCCCATACCATAGTGGGGTTTGGGCATTAGGGGACTTTTACATCAGTAAAACAGAAGAAAGTCCAGAAACAGAGCCACAAATATGTGATCACTTGATTATGGGGGATAAAAAAACAAGGGTTAACAAGGCACTAAATGGGCAAAAGGAAAGTCTTCTCAAGAAATGGTGCCAAAACAACTGCATATAGAAGGGAAAAATAAATATCAAATCCTACACAATACTATTTATACAAAAATTAAACTTGAAATAGATCATAGACTTAACTATAAAAGCTAAGAGTAGAAATTTCTTGAAACCATTAGAATAATAACTTTGCAATTCTGGATAGGCAAAGACAACTCAGAATATGAAAGTATTAAAAAATTGATAAACTGATCTGTACCAAAAGTCTATAAACACACATCAAAGAAATGGCATTTTATGTGTAATATGAATTGTAATGCATACTGCTGTCATACATAACAAATTAGAATTAAAAAAAGAAATGGTATTCAGAATATATAAAGAATATAACAAGGGCTGGGATTGTAGTTCAGTGGTAGACCACTAGCCTAGCACTAGTGAGGTACTGGGTTTGATCCTTAACACCACATAAAAATAAATAAATAAAATAAAGGTCCAGAAACAAAAAAAAAAAAATTAAAAAATATAATAAGACAAACAATCTAATCATAACAGTAGGAAAAGGTATATACAGATACTTCTCAAAACAGACATAAAATGGCCAATAAGCATATGAAAAGATGTTCAACATAGTCCACAGGGAAATACTAACTAAAATCACAATGAGAAATGTACTCACTATAATTTCTAAAAATAAAAAGACTGACAATCCCAAGGCTTGGCAATAATATGGAGCAACTAGAACTCTTAAGACATTTTGGGAAAATGGGCAATGGTTTTTAAAAAGTTAAATGTACACCTACTATACAACTCAGCCATTCCCTAATATGTTTACATAAATAAAATGAGAATGTGTTCACACAATGATTCACATACAAATGTTGAAGGAACTTTTGCTCACAATGGTCGAAACTGGAATCAACCCAAATGTCCATCAACAGATAAAATAAAATGTGATTGCTCCATAAAATAAAATATAGCACAAAAAGGAAGAAACCAGCTCATCCACATGTTGAACCTCAAAATTGCTATGATGAAAGAAAGAAGTTAGATCCAAAAGAATATACAAAATCCATTTACATAAAATTCTAGAAAAAAAACAGATTTCTGTCTATAATCAAGAATGGAGGGAGAGATGGAATGCAAAGGGACAAAAGGAAATTTGTGGATTAATGGAAATATTCTTGATAGTGATCACTATTCCTTTATTATATATTTCTGTTTAAACTCAACAAAAATTATATTCTTTAAATGGATGCAGTTTACTCAATATAAAGTTTTAGCTTAATTAAAAAATTAAGAAATGCACAATTTAAAAAGGAAAGAAAGAAAAGAAAAACATTCTAAATACCTAGGTAGCAATAAGCAAGTCTTCTAATATCTCTGAGCCTTAGTTTTCTAATCCATGAAGTAGAAATAATACCTGCTTTTTAGGTTTATTGAGAGTATTAGTGATAACATATATGTTTTTAGAAGTGTCTACAGAGCACCTGATAGGATAAAGCCTCAGAAAATAGCTTTGGATTCTGTTTTCAGTTCCACTTATTCTAAAACACTGATTTTATACACTATTCTCTAAGGCTTTACTTTGGAATATATTATGTTCAAACTACCTCTTATAAGCTTTAAAGGGTACTTTCCAAGTTGAATATCCTGGAATTTACTGGTTCACTCAAAAATACTACCTCATTCATAATGCTTGTGATCTTTATATTTAATCCATTAATTAGAAAATGAGCTTACAAAAATCAACAGTAAGAGCAGCTTATTATGGCCACTATTCCTAAAGTCTTCTCTTTCTCAACCTGTGTGAATAATAACTATATTTTCCATTTCATTTTCAGGTGCACCAGGTATATACCTATGACTTATTTATAAGATTTGAGTTGTTGTCTTTAGAAAACATCTAATGATTAGATTCTTTTCTCTAAACAGATGTGACCTACAGTTTGCATTACACAAATATACAGTGGTTTTTTTTGCTAATCTTTTTCTTACTTTGATACTTAAACTCACCTGTAATTTTTAAAACCACTCTCAGGATCTTATGATAATGTACTAATTTATTTTCCCATTAATTTTGACATTTTACTACTAGAGCTATGTATAAACTGAAATGTGTGCGATGTCACAGTCACTAATGAAAATGCCAAGAGCCTATAATTGATTCATTTCCATCCAGAGAACTCTGCCTCTAAGTAGATCTCTCTTCATAAGTATATACTCTTCCCATAATTCTATGATAATCTGAAGGTTTTTGTTTTGTTTTATTTTTTGTTTTTTAAGGGGATAAATCCTCAGAGAAGTGAATCAATATTTATTTTAAAACTTCATTTGAGAGAGAAAACTTTTAGAAAGAATAAAATTGGGGGGTTTTCTTTCCATTGTCATTACCATTTATTTTTTCAGCTATATTTCATTACACTTGGGAGTTCTAAAAATGTTGTTAAAAAGATCTAAGAACGGGGCTGAGGCTGTGGCTCAGTGGCAAAGTGCTTGCCTCGCATGTGTGAGGCCCTGGGTTCGATCCTCAGAACCACATAAAAGTAAACAAATAACATAAAAATATTGTGTTCAATACTACAACTAAAAAAAAAAAAAAAAAGATCTAAGAACAAAATCCAGATCTCAGTAAAATATATACCAACTTACTAGGACATCTTCAGCCATTCATTACCTTCTGGTTTCCAATCTCCTTTTAGTAACTGTTCAAAATTTGTGATAATGATACCACCTGCACCTAAAAATAAAAATTAAAAAATAAACAAGATTATTTAGTAACTTTCTTAAGAATATTTGAGGAGAGCCCTAATTCTACCACCTGATTTAAAATCCAAGAGGATTCCCAAACAGAAATCTTGGAAGAAAGAAAAAAATTGCTTTGTAAGCTTAGGATACTGAAACATCTGCAATTCTCCCCTTTCACCAGCACGGCAATTGTCTATTTTACTTCACTTAAGCTTAAATTTGGGGTCTCAAGCACAGAGGTATGGCTAGAGGTTTGTTTCAGACCTAAAAAATAAAATCATATGTTTTACCATTTACTCTCCTGATATAATTAGTTTTAGGTACAGTATACTATAACAAGTTATTAGAGAAATTCATTCAATTCCTACAGAAAGCAACAATAAAAGCAACTGATGCATGAACATGAATCTATAACCAATCATATTTACTATTTCCAGTAATTCAAATTGGAGGAAAAGAACACAGAAAGAGCTACATAATTTCTTAAGTAAACTTGTTTTATTTATGTTAAAATAATTAACATAAATGTCTCTGGTTCATAAATCAAAGATAAAAATGAAATCAAAATCATAAAAATTTTATATAACAGTTAGGCTCAAAATAATGGCTGATGAACTAGTACTAGTGAAAAGTACTAGTTTTTAAATAATTTTGCTAGCCAACAGAAACAAAGTTTCTACCTCCAAAAAGACTGTTAATAAAAGTATGCCATCCCCATAATTATGGTACATCAATAAGAGAATACCTATGAACACATATTGTTAATATTACCTTGGGCCCATCCAATAGCTATCATGACTAACCAGCCATTTTTGTAATAGCTATTAGCATGTGTGATTCCACCTATTATTTTCCAAGTTCTGGTCACTTCCTTCATTCCCGCAGCCAGAAGTTGAACAGGTAAGAATGAATAGCCCTGGGAAATAAGGTCCCAAGGGCAAAAAAATATAATATACCTGAAATTAAAATTTAAATATTTTAATATGTGCACAGAATCAGAAGAACAGAAACAAAACTCTATCAGTACTAACAATATGGCATAACACAATAAATGGAATTATCCATGTAAACTTAGAATAGGAATCCAAGAAAAGCACATACTGTATAGGAAGGTCAATCTTTTAAATCACATGTCAAAATGTCATGATCAGCTGGGTGCGGTGACATACACCTGTAATTCCAGCAGCTAGGGAAGCTGAGTCAGGAGGACTGCAAGTTCAAAGCCAGCCTCAGCAAAAAGTGAGGTGCTAAGCAACTCAGTGAGATCCTGTCTCTAAATAAAATACAAAACAGGGCTGGGGGTGTGGCTCAGCGGTTGTCACCTGAGTTCAATCCCTAATACCAAAAAAAAAAAAAAAAAGTCATGACCTTGTGAATACTCCATAAATGGATGAAGTATCTACTGAGTTCCTAATTTGTGCCTATTTTCTGGAAGTATTGAATCAACTAACAAAATTAAGCAAAAGCATAACCACTTTTAGGGGTGAAGACTGCTCTAATTACACAATGTCAAGCAAGGCTGTTAAAGAACACTTTTTCATACAACTGAAAGAATATAAGCCTGGTTTTTAAAATTTAGTTGAACATGCTTAGTTTTAACCAATCATGTTTTAGAAATGAAGAGAAAATAAGTCGTTTTTTTTCTAGTAAAAATTTCTGACATTATTTGAACAGATGCTTAGGACAAGTGAAATTTAAAAAATAATTCACCAGAGGTGAATTGTTCTTAAAATATTAACAACCCTGCTTGCTTTTGAGCTATCACCTATCTTTGTATAGATTTATGTTGTTCACAAAGAGGCACAGGAAAGAAGTTACTGGGGATTGAGTGCAACCCTTTCTCAATTACCAAATGCCCTTTTCTCCAATTCATTTTTCTAGAGTATAAAGACATTGTATATGTTTTAATAAAATAAAATTATACATTAGAATTAGAAAAAATTAGTTTTCACTTTAACAGAAATTAAATTCAAAGGTAAAATACTGAAAGGAATAACAAAAACAATAGTACAAATGACCCCATTTCTCAATCCCTTCACTAAGTCTATCTTTAACATGAGTTAAAAACTTATGCTATTACAAGAGTAATCTTGGACTTTTCATATTCAAGATTTTATAATTATTTCTATTTCTGAATTAGTAAGTCCTTAATCAGATATTCCTAAATATGTGAATACCTACAATAAGCTAACACATTAAACAAACAAACAAAAAAACACCCTCCTTGAGTGCTAAATAGCCACAGAGCAAAAGATCATTTATTTTGTTCAGAAGACTTATAAATAAACATATCAGAAACACTGAATCTCTAAAACAACTATTCCTACTCTGTAACATAAATTAGATTTTTTTAAATTCCTTTAATGAATCACTCAACTAACACTCATTAAGTAATCACATGTCCCTCCTTATAACATCTCAGATACATTTAACTTCTAAAAGTGCCTAAAGAAAACATAACAGAAAAAAGAGAAAAATGATTGACAATAATGGATTTCTCACACATTTTTAAGTCTCATGGATTAAACTGATAAAGAAAGAAAAATGACCAAGGATAGAAATTAGTCCAAAAACAAGATACAAATAAAATCCTACACCACCAACAAATGAAAGCTAAACCACTTAAAGTAAGAAAGATGGGAGTAAAATTTCCCAAGGTTAGTCACTGAGAATTCTGTACTATCAATTCCATTCCTCTACAAAGATATTATCACTTAACTAAACCAAAACAGAACACTAAATAAATATAATTAATGTTGGTTCAATACAATAGTTTCCTCTTGTTCTTATTACTCTAATAAATTATTTTATATATGTGCTTTGAAAAAAGACTTACCCAATGACAGCTTGTCTAAATGTAATTTTAGCTATGCAACTGTATAATATGCAACATACAATAAGTTACACTTGGGAATTTAAGTTCAAGGTAAAAAAAAAAAAAACCCTGGGGAATAAAAATCAATACGTAGGAAAATTATAAAATATTTGCTTCCTCAGAAGCAGATTTTCAAAAAGAAAACTCCATCTATAGGCTGGGGTTATGGCTCAGCGGTAGAGCACTTGCCTAGCACGTGGGAGGCACTAGGTTCGATCCTCAGCACTACATAAAACTAAATAAATAAAATAAAGGTATTGTGTTCCAACTACAACTAAAAAAAAAATTTAAAAAAAGAAAAATCTTTCTAACCAATAATTATGACATAACCAAGTTAGTGTTTCTGTATGCCAGTAGATGGTGCTAATCTCCAGATGTGTGCACTATGATACTAAAGATGACCTTACTTGCTAGAATTTACACTCCAAACATCATTTTAATTTTCAAATTAAAATTAAATGAAGTAGTTGGGCACAGTGGCACATGCCTGTAATCTCAGTGACTCAGGAGGCTGAGGCAGGAGGATCGCAAGTTTGAGGTCAGCCTCAGCAACTTAGTGAGTCCCTAAGCAATTTATATAGATGTGGTCTCAAATTAAAAATAAGAAGGGCTGGGGATGTGACTCAGTGGTTCGATACCGAATACCAAAAATAAAGAAATAAGAAAAATTAAATGAAGCAAAGACTATATATTTATTCTAAATATTAAAACTTTAAAGGAGAAAATAGTAACATATACTATATGTCTTTAAATCAGAACCTTTTTTATATGTAAAGGTCTATGAGGACAAAGAAAAGATTCCTATTTGCAGAATAGGATGCAATATTGTCAGGTGTGGTGGCACACTCCTACAATCCCATCTACTTTGGAGACTGCAACAGGAGGATTGAAAGTTCAAGACCAGCCTCAGAAACCTGGCAAGACCCTCTCAAAATTTTAAAGGGAGGAAGGGGCTCAGTGGTAGAGTGCCCTGGGTTCAATCCCCAGTACTTGGGGGGGAAAAAAAAAAAGGAATACATTGCATGAACAAAGCACAAAGAACTAGATAGATACCCTAGGTTCCAATCACTTAGTATCTGCAATCCCTTGGGTAAGTTATTAACTCTGCATGCCTTATGCCTCATGCCTCAGTTATATGATCTGTGAAGAGTGAAACAATACTTACCTCACAAGATTCATGTGAGGTTTAAATGAGATAGTAAATATAAAGCACTAAGAAGAGTGTCTAGGACATAATAAATGATATATAAATTACTATCATTACTGTGGTTTTGTAATGCACAACAAAACAACTGGAACCAATAAAATGCTCATCAACAATAAAATAAATATAGGTATCAATATAATGGATTAAACAGCAATGGGAAGGAATGCACTATGGCTACACACAAAAACATACGGATGAATCTTAGTAATATAATATCAAGTGAAAAATTAATGCCCAGGAAACTATAGTCAGTATGATATTCCATTTTAAAATGGGTTCAGGTGCTAGGGGCTTACATAGCTCAATGCTATAGTGTGTGTTTAGCATGTTATAATGCCCTGGGTTCAATCCCAGAACCACAAAAAATAAATTAATTAAAATAGTGCCTCAAATAACCCAAATTTTCATCAACTAATTAAAAGGATTTTTAAAATGTGAAAAAAAAAATAGGGCCTCAAACAAACAAAACTAAAAATACTATTCCACCATGCGTCCAGCGCACTGGTTTCATTAATGAGGTTCTTGGCATAAAAGTTAACTAGTGAGATCGAAATAAACACACAGACTCAGTTACCTTTTTCTATGACCAGGTCCCAGACGGCTCTCCCTCTGGTTCATACCTCGAACCACCCGGTAGGGCAGCAAGGATTACTCAGGGCTAGCAGGAGAGAGAGGGAGCACGCCAGGGAGTAGCCTTTTATTGGGGAACAAGAAATTCAAGGGAGAATTCCATCCAATGAAGGTCTGGGTCAGTGACTGGTCCCCGGGGTCAGTGGTCAGTCACACCCCCACACGGACAGGCTCTTGCACCAGGAGAGGGCCGGGAAAGCTCCGACACAGTTTAGCCAGAGCGCCTCAGACCCAAACCGGGAGTTGCCCAGTCACGTGTGAGAATGGCTCCCCACATACTATTATTTATTCACCAATATAATATAAATTTTTCTAAAAGGTAAGATAAATACAACCATTAGGGTAGAGGTTATCTGTGAAAAATTAGAAGACAGGACAGAGGAAGAAAATGTATAAATGTATAAAAATTACTGGTAGAGTCCAGTTCTTAGGTTGGGTGCAATGCAGTGAGAATGTAAATTAATATAACGGTTTTGGGAAATGATCTGGCATCATATAATACAGTTTAAGAATCATTTTCCCTATAATTGAATATTACTCTTAAGCATATGCGAAGAGAAAATCTTACATATGTACACCAGTAAATATGTATGAATTTTCTTAGAAATACTGTTTATGATAGGAAAAAAGTAGAAACAACTGTCAGTAGAGAAAAGGAAAGATTATGATGTGATAATTCTGTTATGCTATACAACGGTGAAAATTGATAAATTACAACCACACACAATAAAAATGAATTTCAGGAATAGAGGTTGAACAAAAAACAGCAAGTTACAGAAAAACATATATGATTCCATTTATAAAATTTCAAAAATTATATTGTTTTGAGATATAAACATTGCTAAAGCTACATAGAAAAGCAAATGAATAATAAGCACAAAACTATGATGATTCCCTCTGAGGAAGGAAAAAGGGGACTAGAGAAGATACTGGGGACATCAAAACTAATAGAAGGATTCTGGGAAGATGGTAGTGATTGAATATATCTTAATTTACTCAAATCCCACAGAAAAACACAGAGCAACGAGACAGCCAACACTAAAATCCTATATACAATACTAATAAGAAAACCTCTCAGACCCCAAAAGCAAGTGGGAAGAGACAAATCACCAACACTCAGAGAGACCAACAGGAAAAAGATACAAGCTCACAAACAAAATAACACTAAAGGGAGCAAATGGGCACTCACCAGAAAGTACATGTAGGCCAATTTGAAGAAAAACTAGAGGGTTTCTGTCTGTGTG